CATCTATAAGAGGTGTCCTACAAACCGATTTAATTGAACGTAATAAAAGCGAATCGGAAAAGCGGAATGAAATTTTGCAACACGAGCTCTATGCTCGAGGAAAGTGATATTGGTATTGTGCACCCAGTGCACAGGCACTGAAGCTCAATTTTAGACGCTCGAAGGATCCCATGAGGACGTCTTCTACAACGTAGGTGGAGACTGAGAGCAGTTCCTCTTACTTGGTACCTTAGGACCGTCTAAAATTGCTCGAGTGCCCGTGTACTCGAGCAATATTCTGATTGAGTTTTGAAAATGATAGCTGTTCGAATGAGTCCCTCAGACTACGTACAGGATGCGACTAGGAAGCATACATACCAATAAATAGCTTGCAAATTTTACAATTCTCGAAAACTATTAAAAGAACAAATACATTTGATCTAACTCTGTTTCCTGGAATCGGTGCAGAAAATTATTATTATCTACAAATACATGTATCTTAGAGAAAATATGAAAATGGTATTCCTTTCTTTCTTTAATTATTTTAATAGAACGAAAGTGATACAGTCGTCCCTCGATAATCTGCTTCGAATTGCGAAGCTTGTTAAAAGATTATGGACCACATAATTTGTTTACCGCGGACGAGACTGCATTGTTCTACAAATGCCTCCTTGACATGGCGTTAAAAGACGGAGAATGTCACGCGGTAAGTACGTGGCCGTCGAATCGTGGCATGTGGCCTCCTAATTGCCTTTGAATTGTGTCATGCGGCCTCCAAATTGCCTTCGAATCGTGGCAACAAATTAGAAATAAGAAAGTTAAGTCATCGTTTTTATTCTAGTATTACCATGTATTCATATTAATGTACATCGGCATGTTGGTCGCTGCCTTTTTTTCAGCTGCCCCGAGTTTCTATAAAAACGAGCCGCTAGGCTCGCAGAATCGCGGCTTAGTATTCTCGGATCTGCCAGTTTCGATTCCAACCTCCCAACATTTCTGGGAGCAATTACTATACTGGTGCTAGCCGTTTGCTATCTCTAAACTTCTCATTCATTTACCCTTCGTCCACAAGACCCTATCGCAAAAACAAGGAGTAGGCGTTCGTTCGGTTATCCTTCCACAACCTCGCTTTAAAATTTCGTTTCCGCTAACGGATAAATAACAGAGAATATTACTGTTACAATCTCGATGCTTTCTACATCAAGTAAGCTTATATTACTGACGATTCATGCAGCAGACTATGCATTTGCCTAAGAATTCACCTGCCGCGCTTGTCGTACATTCGCGATCGATTCTTTTCGCAAGTTCGTCAGTTGATTATGGAAACATCCCGTCGGCGCGGCCACCATAAAAGCCGTTGGCCGAGTCGTGATTTATGACTCGGTGTTCGGGAAAGTATCATCGAATTACTATGGCCCGGAATTTCGAGCGTACAATAAGGGAGCCGAGCTTTATATGCGGAGTTCGACGGAGGGGACGGTTTGTTTGCTCGTCGCGGCTCGTAATGTGTTTTCTTTTACGAGCGATCGAGTCGGGAAGATACACGGGCCCCGTCGTTATTAATTCTCGTTCGCTCGCGGCTCGTTTATTATCGGCCCCGGTCGTGGGAGGCTGTTTATTCGCGGAGTGACGCGCAGTAAAAACCGCTTCTTTCGCTTCTTTTCTTCGCCTCGACGTCTTGCGCATTGTGCGCATTGTGCGCTTGCGGCCGCGAGAACTTACAGGTCGATCCTCGGCGAGACCGCGCGGAATCACCGGGTGTATCAATCATCCGGTTCTCCGCTTTAATTCACCGCGTACTACTTCATTCGATGCACGTGAAAATGTAAATTACATTAGATCGGTCGCACCAAAACAGAAAGTTGATTGATCGAAGTATAGTAATATCTCCCTAATTTTCGCCCAAATTGTGCACTAAAATAAACAATTTGAGAAGAGAAGATGTGATTATTCGAGCCTTGCGGCTTGTTTGTTATAATTACCGGTTGTCAATAACTATAAAAACGAGCCGCAAGACTCGAACAATCGTATCTCCTCTTTCCAAACTGTCCATTTCTGTGCACAATCTGAGCGTCAATTAGGGAGACATTACTGTACAGCGACACGTTCGCTACCAGCGAACAAAGAGAAGCTATGAATCCTCTAAATATTATGCCACGTGTTACAATTTTAAATGATTATAGACAGAAAATGATATCGATGTTCTTCGCGTGAAATAGAAAATCGTGGCGCTGATAGCGAACTTGCGAACAGAATACATCGATTGAAAATACAGAATACTTTTCACTATGCAATTGTTGTTTTCTGAATCGCAAATTGTTTGTGCAAAGATCTAACGTTCAGACATGTTGTTGCACGCAACGGTGTACGAAAACATTGAAGTCGGTTTTCCGAAAATGACATTTTTCGCCTATGTTCTCATCGAACGCCGCGATTGCTGGGCCACTATCTCCGAGATCTGCGTTGCGAAACAAAGAGGGATCCCCGACAGTTTTCACGCTCGACGACGTACCTTTTGTACCCTATCGTGGACCTCGATCGGAGTGCCTAGATCCCTCGGCGCGAGCGCCATCGTTCGTTGGATTTCAGTCTCTGGCGATCGATTCCATAAAATTTTACGAGCTCGACGATGGCCGCGCCTGCCACGGGTCGGTCCTGGCCTATCGTTTCCAAAATTCGGCCGAGTACCAGCAATCACCGTGGGATACTATTTTTGCGGCAGCATTGTGCGCTTGCGGCCGAGAGAACTTACAGGTCGATCCTCGGCGAGACCGCGCGGAATCACCGGGTGTATCAATCACCCGGTTCTCCGTGGCCGTAGCCGAAGTTCCCCCGGAGTTCCGGCCGGAAAGTTGCCACGAACTTATACATATGAAACGGCTCGAATATCAACCGCCTAACTCCGCCCGACGTGCCGCACCCTCGGCGTCGAGTTAATTCCACGAGTTAAAGAGATAAGCGAAAATTCGTTTCCGTAATGAATTTCCCTGCCGCGACGCGTCGCGACGCCAGTTTCTGGCAGCCGCGCCGCGTCGCTTCGTTTAAACAATCTTTCAGCGAGTCGGCCGATCTCAATGCACGGTGAACTTTCAGTGGTCTGTGATACTCTGGCAACGGTTACTCGAATAAACTCTATCGACGCTGCGTATGCGTCCGATAAACAGTTATAGGAGTAATTAGCAATTATTTTACTTGCGCGAGAATACGCCCTTTGCATTTATCCTTCGCGCTAGGCCGACGAGGCTGTGCCAACCGTTAAAAATTTGCCGTACCGTTGTTCGCAACAACGTCTGCTTCCTTAACGCTTTCGCGCCGAGCGCCGCATATATGCGGCAGACGTGTAATTTGTAGGAAAAATGATAAAAGGACGGATTCGCGGTTCGAGTGCAAAGATTGCGATGTTGGCCTTTGTATAGATCCTTGCTTTCAAATATATCGCACAGAATTATATTATTAGTTTTTACAGATTATTATATTTTAATAATTTTCGTCTCGTTATTAATTATATTAAACATTTGATCGTTAGGCTTTGTAATTATATAAATACCTATGTTACCTATAATTTTGTAAATCCTTTTAAATTAAAAATGTAAATATACTTGTTACATCAGAGCAATGATCGTTTTATTCGGCACAGTTATTATTTAAGACCTGGAACAACATATATACAGAAACCACGCGCACTGTGCATATTTCTGGAGCGAGTTTCCGTTCAATGACGGTACTTCGGCGGATCGAGCCTGCAGTAGCGAAAGGGATAAGCCTGCGCGTATCTAATAAATTGCTAAAAATTTAAATCTGGTGCAAACAGCTTCGAGATCAAAGAGTCGATTCCTCACTTTTGCAAACTTAATCGTTTGCTTTAGCAAACATCCGAATGTTTTTAGAACTGTTGGACCCTTTTTCGAGCAATCATCCATGAAGTAGATCATGTTTCATGGTTTTGATCATTTCAAGAAAAACCGAACGAATCGGTCTTCGCAAGCACCGAACACACAGTCGAATGTATAATTCGGAAAATCTATTATATTGTATAGAGTACTCGCAAAAAGCGATTTTCCGAACGAACGGAGATAGCGAGCCTGGTAACAATAAAATTGCTTTTATCTCTCCATAATATTTTGAAAGGAACGTGATAATGACGTTCCGTTATATGTACAGTATACAGAACGCACGGAATAAAATTACTTTATAACAGCAGTCCCCCGGATTTCGGAAATTAAAATACGTTGCGGTTCGCTCGATAGTGAGTCTGTTCGAGCGAACGTTTCGCCGGTTCCGAAAATTATTAGGACAGTGCAGACTCCGTAAATTCGCAAACATTTCTGTGCCTTATGATAACTATGTCTACGTAAAAAAGTTTAAGCTCTTTATTTGAAACAGTTCTGTGACATGGCAATGTTATATTGCACAAATGCGATTCAAATTGAAATTTCGAAATATTTTCTAAAGTAATTGGAGAACTTTTCTATTACGATGTCAAACAATATAATAATAAATATATAACTATATTTCGATATAAAATATTATGACGATTTAAAATATAAAACTATATTTCTCTATTTTTCTAGTATTCTATTTCTCTATTTCTCTATTTCTCAATTTCGCTATTTCCCTATTTCTCCAATTCTCCAATTCCTCAATTCTCCAATTCTCCATTTCTCCATTTCCCTATTTCTCCATTTCTCTATTTCTCTATTTCCCTATTTCTCTATTTCTCTATTTCTCCACTTATATATATTATATCTTTTTATATTTCTTTTATACATCTATTATATTTCACTGGTGCAGTCACCGTGCAGTTAAGCACAACGGGCACAGACAGTTCCATCCTGGCAGACCTATTCCGGGCAAGAAGAAGCTAAAGACCGAATGGATTCCCTTCGAACTCGTATTTCCTGTTCCCGAATTCTACGGCGTGGCTTGCAGGGACGTTTTCGCGAGCCTGTCAGAGTGAATTTTTCGAAGTTTCCGCGCCAGACATCCGTAAACGTTCCGGTAAAGAGACAAAGTTCGCTCACCTTCCAGGACGCGGACGCACTCGGTCAGGTTCGGATAGTTGTCCGGATAGTTCGGACTGTAAAATTCCTGCTTGGCCTCGTCACCGGCGTTGAACTTCTCGCAGGCGTCCGGGACGTGTCGCATCTGACGGTGAACTACATCGTTCCTGCGGAACGGCGTCGGTGTCCTCGTGAAGTCATTCGGCATCCTTGTCGAGACCGGCTTGTGCACCAACCGATTCTCGTGCGACGGCACTGTCTGTACATAGTTAAAAATCACGTAAGGCTTCGCTGTTTCAATAATTCCGAAAATACTGCGCTCTACACGGTCGACCGAGATCGCAAAATAAAATGGAACAGGGACAATCATAAAATTGGTAAATGTGGCTAAAAAAAATGGGAAACGTATTTCATTCGAAATATAGGCTGGCTGTGAATCAATTCGACGAATTATAACGAGCAGATTGACGGATTTAATGGATTTACGACAAAAATGAGTAAGTAAAATTTATCATAAATAAATGCAGGGAATATAAATGTATTTTTTTTTGTTAGTTTCAGTATACTGAAATTATTAAGAAAAGAGAACAATTACTACCCGGCTATTCTTCGTTGCAATTCGCAAAGAAAATTCTTTCTTAATAAAAATCCGCAGTCTATAATAATGGGACTTTCAATAGTCAAGGTTAAATTCCATTTTCCACCTCGTAGAAAATACTGTTAAATTTTTTGAAAAATCTGACTATATGTTCATAAAAAGATGAAAACTTGTAGAAAAAATTGTACGCATCTTTATGTAAAGTGAGTGAAGCAGTACGAGACGCAGACAGTTTCCGGTAAGAAAATGTATTTTAATTTAAATATTGTTGCACATCAAATAGATGAATTCTTAATGAAACTCTCGGTTATAATTTTGGTAAAATTAGCATTTTAACAGCAAGCATACAAAAGTGATTTACTCGTAGTTCGTTGCTTCCAATAATAATCTAAACATTGAATCGAAATGAAAAACATTCGATAAACATTTCAGCAAAGAAAGAAATGACTGATCAATGAAACAAGCAATAAATGAAACGAACACTCATGTGACAATTACAAAAATCTGTGCTTTCAAAAACACTAAATTAAGAATACTAACTCGACTGTCGAAGAACTTCATATTTTGATCCGCGAAGTTTCCGAGCCGTTAGTTTCGCGGAGCGAAAGCGTAGCCTAACTGCCAAGTTTTGCGACACGTGTGCAAAAGCTATGGTCGCTTCGTGTGCTGGAACTTTGCAACTAATGAGTTGAGTGCAATAAAATTTGGACGCGTAATGAACGGAGAATGTGCCCCTGGATGGCAAGCTAGACGTTGCCACCAGTTTCGTTTATTTCGGAAAAGTGTGATCACTTTGGGAACGGATCTTGTGCGCATTACGGCCGCGGGATTAACTCGGGAGCCTGGTTGGATTGAAAATGTATACGATTGATGAGCAATAATCCTCCGATACACAGGTGTCAGGTCGTTAATTAAATGAGAGTCCAACGATGCTTTGGGCAACTGGTGCCGTAATACCGCGTTGAATTATAGTTATCGTCTCCGTACGAAATTATTGGGATGCAGGGAATCCATTACGACTGTAATTGCGTTATTGCGTCGAGATCGATGAACCGTCTGATTTCATTTCTTTGCCTCTCTCTCTCTCTCTGTTTCTCTTATTTTTTATGTTTGCACACTTTCGCGCCAGAAACCCCGTTTTGGATTCTGATAATCCAGCGGTTATAAACCGCCGATTAAACTGTAATCTAAAAAAAGGGAACAGAATTCCCTCGCTATAAGCCGATTAAGTGGGAAGAGTAATGGTAAGCTTCTGCCGTGGAAGATTTATCGAACCTGAGGCGAAAACATACTGTATTAAACTGCGGTATGGCTCGGCACAAAAGGTTCGAATCGCTGCTAACGATATGTAATTAGATAAAGATGTAAGTTCAAATGACAACGTGTTCATCCATCGCGATATGTACGTACGAGCCAATGCGAAGACAATCTTACTTCGACTTTCTTGGATAAATAAATACATGATCGTAATAAAACCGCTGCTAACATTCAACAGATACGAAAGTTGATGAGAAAAACGGAGAACGAAAATTAAGAACGACTATCGAAAGCCAAAATCAATTTTTGGCAAATGTATTAAAATATTGGAAGATTAAATAATCGACGTGAGAAAGATATCAGTATTTAATTAATATATGCACAAGGAAACCAGTTAAAATTTTACTGCATAGTGTTATCGCGAAACTTCGTGAGAGCCATTCGTTTTAATTCTTGTATATTTACCGGCGTGTCCACTAACGTGAACACGAGTGTAAATGAAGTAACCAAAACGTATTGTAATAAACTTTGTTTATCGCAGCCATTAAATCTCACCCAGCATATTATACATGAAATACGCGGAGAGATTGCGAAATTTTATGCGCGTTTAGTAGAGTTTCATTTTAAAAATTCACCGCCAGACTACAGTAATTAATGTTAAACATAGTGAACCAATGAACTGATATGTGAAACTGCAATTCAAAATAGTGAATTGCAATTTACGCATTTACGATCAAAATGAATAGATCAAATGAATGATTAAGTAATTCAGTAAAATTTTGAATAGAAGAAATAAATGTTTATGCAGTTCTTTGTAATCGATACACAAAATTTGTGTTGTTTTGTATAAAATTCTAATACATAGTCTAATAATTAATATAAATCTGAACTTCTGTCTTTGTTTTGTTAAATAAATCCCTACGACTTTATCGATTTTTTGTAGCCACTGAGTGGATAATCAGCTTGTCAATACTCGGATGGCGGGTCCATTTGGACCCTGAGTATAAGTAATTTTAATTTACTATCCAGTTTCTGACAATTCATTTCAATTTTCACGTGTTTCATCAAGGTCCTTGGAAAAACTAACTAGTCTAGAAGGAATAGCTTAAAAAATGTCTTCAACAAAATTAATAGATCCATTTCTAAACGATTTTAAACATATTCCATACTCTATGCCTCTTTTTTTGTACTTTAAGGGAAGTTTCAACCCTTCCATAATTTCTTCGGTAAAGACCACTCTAATAGCCAATAATATTAAGTTTACTTAAATCACCAAACCAGAAGTTCGGATAAATTCAATTTTGTCATCGCTATAAAACAATTGTACCTACATCAGTCGTGTTTAGAACTTGATAGTTATAGTAGCATTAAACATTTCTAGAAGGTTTCATCAAAATCGGCGTGCATTAGATTTGGGCAAAATTGCATTCGAATGACGGATAAAAGAAAAAGACTAACGACTAAAATTTGATTCAACGCTATCGAATAAAAGATTATCTAGGTAAAATTTATTCCGAATAGATATTCAATTAGATAAAAATTTATCTAGGTAAAAATTCATCCAAATAAAATTTGAAATAAGATCTTATTGGAATAAGAATTTGAAACAAAAAATAATAAAAGATAAAATGATTTTTCGTAGTTTATCGATTTATATTTCTTCCGTATTACTGTTTCGTATTATTCGAATAAAGAATTATTAGGGAATAGACGGATAAATTACTAAATATATTCAATAAATAGAATAATTTACGAATTATTCGAATAAAATATGCGACTAAAGGAATCCATTCTAATAATGATCTTAGATAAATATTTATTCGAAATAATCCGAATAATGCCTCTGGCGTGTATCGGTCATTGGAGATCCCTTGTCAATTACATTTCTGTCAAAAGACAAATCCGCCGTTCGAATGTCCACGGTGAAAGAATCAAAATATGAACCTTGGAAAAACCGTCCAGCCGAAAACAGTGGAAAACGGAGCAGAGAGATTGACGATGCGACACGATGTACGACTTACGTTATCGAAAGTCCTGAACACGTTCATCTCTTCGAAGTTCGACCGTCCCGTGGTTGATTGGATAAACGTCCGTCCAGCGGATAGATTTATCTTCTGTCTGGTATCGGGCGAGCCCCTCGAGGACAGGCTCGAGTTTTCACGGTTGATTTTCACTTTTCCCGCGACGCTGTTCGTTCCGGGCGATCCGATATTCGGATGCATTTCAATCTCCGTCACCGGCGGACCCTCGGTGACCGTCTTCAGCATCCCGAACGTAACCTGATGCCCCGAGCCAGGGCTGCCCGTGTGCCAGGAACTTGTCCGACGGAGCATTCCGTCGGATCTGCTCGCCGACGGGATGCGGTCCGTGCTGGTCGACGACCAGCCGAAGGATCGAGTGGTCCTCCGCGCGTCGTACGCGGTCCAAAGTGGCTGCTCCGTCTCGCGTGTGGTTTCCGCGGCTGTCCCAGTGACTGAAACATTAATGGACAAATACTTTCCGTTACTGGATGCCTGGGAAATTTCCGCTCGCCACGCAAACCCGACAGCGAACCTTACTCAACCGTTATCCCCACGATTTCGTCGGAACTATCTCGCGAAGATGCACTAAAAGTGAATCTTTTCATCGACGAACTAGGTACCAGCATTGGGCATTAATCGATTAGAATTGTTCGACCTGATTAAATGATCGATGAAAATTAAAAGATATGGTGTTATCTTTGCGCGTGAAGTCCTTAACGGGCTTTGTTGCCTCGACTCTTCAGTAATGTTAACCGTTTGCGTACCAGATGGTTCTGAAAAAACAGGATCGAAAAGCGCCGAAGAGCGCAATAGCGCTCCTTCGATTATGTGTCGAAAAAAGCCGAAGAGAGCAATAGCGCTCCTTCGATTATGTGTCGAAAAAAGCCGAAGAGAGCAATAGCGCTCCTTCGATTATGTGTCGAAAAAAGCCGTGAAGCATAAAATAAAACGTTATGAATGAAAATATATATACTATTAATTTAGAATAGGTAACAACAAAATGCAAATTGGATTACTGACAGCGATGCGACGCGCGACGTATACATGCGTCTGAAAGACTGAGCACGTTTCGACAAATTTCGGGTGGGCCGTAAGTCGTCTGTTTCGACCAAATGCCCTGGCTTTTCTCGACGCAAAATCTGAAGAGCACAAAAATGTTAAAGAAACTTCGTCTGAATGCTCCAATATTTTCTCTCTGATTCGGAGAATTCCTTCATATTCAGAAACATAGAGAAATTTATGGAGATTTTCTCTATTGAAGAAAGATTGGATTGTTTTCTCTATTCTAAATAGTGTGCGCACACTCATCGAGTCCGTAGAGATTTATCATATTAATTATCTCGTTTCCTTTTTATTTTAACTCAGTATCAAATCATTCTAAACCTCTGCATATTCTGTTTGTAAATATATAGTGATGTCTCTTTAATTGACGCTCAAATTGTCCACAAAAATGGACAATTTGGGGAGAGGAGATACGATTATCCGAGCCTCGCGGCTCGTTTTTATAGTTACCGATTGTCGACGACTAGTAAAAACGAACAATTTTCCCTAATTGACGCTCGGATTGTGCAAATTTGAGACAATTTGGGGAGAGCAGATACGATTATCCGAGCCTCGCGGCTATTATAGTTACCGATTGTCGACGACTATGAAAACGAGTCGCGAGGCTCGAATAATCGTATCTCCTGTTTCCAAATTATCCCAAATTTGCACAATCCGAGCGTCGATTGGGGAGAATTTACGGTATCTTCATTTATGTAGAAATATCTTTGCTTTGAATGTGAAACTTTCGAGCAGAAAAAGTTTGGGTTTATAGCATGTAGAAGTGTAGAATTTTTATGGGAACAGGAGATGCTAAAACACAATTTGAAACGCGAAAAGCTGCAATTTGATTACGGCAGATGACGGCTAAACTTTACAGTTCGTAAATAAAACTGTAAAAAGCTAAATATAAAGCACTGGTAGAAAGTTACACCTCGTTTTCTTCTTTTTCCGAAAGTAGTGTTTCATGCAGCAGAGTATTGTACGGAGGCTATAACTCAATTATCCATTTTCTTTTTANGCAATAGCGCTCCTTCGATTATGTGTCGAAAAAAGCCGAAGAGAGCAATAGCGCTCCTTCGATTATGTGTCGAAAAAAGCCGTGAAGCATAAAATAAAACGTTATGAATGAAAATATATATACTATTAATTTAGAATAGGTAACAACAAAATGCAAATTGGATTACTGACAGCGATGCGACGCGCGACGTATACATGCGTCTGAAAGACTGAGCACGTTTCGACAAATTTCGGGTGGGCCGTAAGTCGTCTGTTTCGACCAAATGCCCTGGCTTTTCTCGACGCAAAATCTGAAGAGCACAAAAATGTTAAAGAAACTTCGTCTGAATGCTCCAATATTTTCTCTCTGATTCGGAGAATTCCTTCATATTCAGAAACATAGAGAAATTTATGGAGATTTTCTCTATTGAAGAAAGATTGGATTGTTTTCTCTATTCTAAATAGTGTGCGCACACTCATCGAGTCCGTAGAGATTTATCATATTAATTATCTCGTTTCCTTTTTATTTTAACTCAGTATCAAATCATTCTAAACCTCTGCATATTCTGTTTGTAAATATATAGTGATGTCTCTTTAATTGACGCTCAAATTGTCCACAAAAATGGACAATTTGGGGAGAGGAGATACGATTATCCGAGCCTCGCGGCTCGTTTTTATAGTTACCGATTGTCGACGACTAGTAAAAACGAACAATTTTCCCTAATTGACGCTCGGATTGTACAAATTTGAGACAATTTGGGGAGAGCAGATACGATTATCCGAGCCTCGCGGCTCGTTTTTATAGTTACCGATTGTCGACGACTAGTAAAAACGAACAATTTTCCCTAATTGACGCTCGGATTGTGCAAATTTGAGACAATTTGGGGAGAGCAGATACGATTATCCGAGCCTCGCGGCTATTATAGTTACCGATTGTCGACGACTATGAAAACGAGTCGCGAGGCTCGAATAATCGTATCTCCTGTTTCCAAATTATCCCAAATTTGCACAATCCGAGCGTCGATTGGGGAGAATTTACGGTATCTTCATTTATGTAGAAATATCTTTGCTTTGAATGTGAAACTTTCGAGCAGAAAAAGTTTGGGTTTATAGCATGTAGAAGTGTAGAATTTTTATGGGAACAGGAGATGCTAAAACACAATTTGAAACGCGAAAAGCTGCAATTTGATTACGGCAGATGACGGCTAAACTTTACAGTTCGTAAATAAAACTGTAAAAAGCTAAATATAAAGCACTGGTAGAAAGTTACACCTCGTTTTCTTCTTTTTCCGAAAGTAGTGTTTCATGCAGCAGAGTATTGTACGGAGGCTATAACTCAATTATCCATTTTCTTTTTATGATACTTTCTTCTGCTTTAAGACCTGCTTACGTAACGTGTAACATGAACGTAGTGCATCGAGTTTGGGAGGAGATGGAAACGTTGGAGAATTCTTCTGGATCTCTGGATAAAGTCTGGGATGTTTGACGAAACTAATTCGAAAGATACTTTTCGTACCACGATAGCCGAACTAATTTTACGAGATGATAATAGTGCAGAAGAATTCGAACGTATAAAAAACTTCATTCACGGACACAAATGTCGTGTTACGTGGATTTTCGTTATATTAAAATCTTCTTTTGTTGTTCGTTCGCATTGAATTCGATTAAAATGTTTTTAAATTACATCCGATTAAAATCTTTTTATACCGAGTCCGATTAAAATCTTTCTAAATTGACTTAGATTGAGATCTTTTTAAATTGAATTAAAAACTACGATCTTTTTAAATTAAATTCGATTACAATCTTTTTATAATTGAATTCAGTTGAAATCTTTTTTAAAATTCGATTCGATTAAAATCTTTTTTTAGCAGGTGTTACAAATATATCTCGTTGCCTTCTATTTGTAGACTCCAGTGAAAAATGTCATTAATCCTCTTATGTGTTTCTGCTACAAATAAGTTCCTGAAATCGATACCTAAACGATTTCTCACTGTTTATTGTTCTTAGGAGACCTCATAACGCGTCAGTCGATAAACTAATCTTGTACACGGTATATAATTTTTCCTGGAAAATCTGCCAACGTTGCTAATGTTATAACTACGGTATGTTTCCTTCCTTTATGAGCTCGGATTTTAAATAAGCGCGTTTAAGCCCGCCGAAACGATGCGGTGTAATATCAAAGAGGTTCTGTAAGAGATACTACTTACCATAAATAGCTCAAATATTCACGATGGACGATGGAAGATTTAAGGGCGAGGTATGAGTGACTTAACACAATGAAAAGTCGTATTAATACAAAGTTTCAAGCATTAGCTGGAAGATTAACTCAGCCTTCGCGTTGTTTGAATTTCGTTAAACTCGACACAGACTGCATTTGGAAAATGAATTTCCCCACTTTTGGCATGCTATATGTAGATATCAAGTGCTGTACCTATCACACAATCGGTGTCGCAATAGGTATGATAAAAATATATAGCGTTATAGTTATTCGAAAAATGATATTTCACCGAGGCAATTGCGCGAGGTCAATGGGCCGTATCCCTGATAAATCCGTATTCGGTTTGTTTTGTGGTTATCGCATTTGCACCTCGAATTTGTTCGCCAATTAAACTAGCCCGGCGTGGAAAGTTTCGGATTAATGGAGGGGATCGATCCCTGTTGTTGGCACCGTGTTTCAATAGAATGTATTCAGCGGTCGACAGGTTTTAACAGTGCCCGGAATGACAAAGCAAAGGGTCTCGGCGGAACTACGAAAATTGCACCGACGATCACAACACCACCCTGAAACCAATATCCAAGTTCGGATATCAATAATATTAAAGCATTACGTGAAGTTCTCCTCTGATAAACAATCAATTTTTTATTCGCACATCACAATCAATGCTGATACGAAAAACCAAATTGGATAAAAGCACAGCCTCTTGTTATTAATCTTCGAAGCTCTATAAATATGAAACGAGATGTAATCGTATGCATTAAATTCTTTTTCAGATTTAATTCGCTAGTTCTCAACTATGAGAATAATATTTTGTTTTTTAAAAAAAACTGCAGAAACGATTTCTTGCGATTGAATGCAATATACACTCAAAATGATCAATCTATAAACAGCTGTAACTTCGTTAAAAGCTGTCATAAAATTATAACTATTCTTTTCAATGAAAGCTCGAAATCTCTGCTTTACGATGCCATACTCTAATTTTTAATATCATGCATCCCCATGATCGTAGTATCCTAAAACCAAGGGCATGTTCCTGATGCCGAAAAAGGCCAAAGTTTAACGTCCTCTTCGGACTTGGAAAAAATTGTTTCGAGAATGGAGATACATAATATTAAAAATTAGAATATGGTAGCGTAAAGTAGAGATTTCGAGCTTTAATGGGAAAAAAAGTCATACCTTTATGGTAGCTTTTAA